CTCCTGCCCCTTTAAGTTCACACCCATTTTAAAACGTTTAAAGACAAATTAAAATTTTTGAAGGTCCAGGACAAAATTTTCCCCCCAATGACCCAAGGGGCACCATTTTTTCCTCAAATTTTCATTTTTTTCTTTTCTAACCATCCCCGACATCATTTTTCCCAAAAATTTTAATTGTTCAAATTTTATTTTCCTCAATCTTTATTCAACTTTATACTAATCCTTTACCCACCACCCCTCCTGTTCCTCTTACTTTCCCATTTAAAAGGGAGACTCCTTCCAACATCCCAAAATTGGGCCACTTTTTTGAATAAGAGATTTTCTAGAGGTTAATTTTTTGTGTGTGTTTGTATCTAAAACTCGGGTGCGCGGGGCGGGGACCTTAAACCCCCAAAATTAAACAACCCCGAAAAAAACCTTGCAAGGCACTGAAATGGGAAAAAATTTCTCTTCTTTCTCTAAGAAAACCCTAAGTCCGGAAAAACTTTCACACTTTTTAACCTCCCTCAACCCTAAATTGCCAAAAGCCCTTGCCCTTCAACTGCAACCCCTTTCCCAAAACCAAGCCACGGCCTCTTGGCCCATTTAAAAAGTTAAAATTTTTGTTTGATTACCCCGGCCCCCCTCTAGCCCCCCCCCCCTTTTTCCTCCAGTAACCCATCCCCTCTACCAACTTAATTAAACTTTTACCTAAATTAAAAAGGGACACTCAAAAACCTTCCCCCAAAATTTTTAATTTTTATTTGCTTATTAAAAAATATATTTCTGCCAATAGGACTTCCCTCTTCCATACATTTTAAAATTCACCAAAATAAAAAAATCCCCCTCAAAATTTCTTTTTTACCCAACAAAAAATTTTAATTTATTTTATATGCCCCCAAAAATTTTTAACCCAAAAGTTCTTTTTTAAAAGGGGTATTTTTTCCCTTAAAAAAAAATTTCCCCACTTATAAAATTTAACTTTTAAAAAAAAAAATTTTAAAAACCCCTTTAATATATTCCCAATTGCCCCTTTTTCTCCCACCCTTAAATAAATTTTAAATTAAAATAATTTTTTAAAATAATATTTAATTGTATTTATATAATATTATTCAATATTTTATATTTAATTTTAATAATTTTTTTAGTTTATAAAATAATCCCCCTGAAGCTTTTCTTTCCCTGTAAAAATACTTTTTCAGGACTCAACTGAAAGTGTTGAAATTGTCCCTCCTTACCAAAACCCCCCAATTATAAATCTTTTTACCCAAAATAATCAAAAACATTCAAATTCCCTAAAAAATCAACTTATTTATCCTCTTTTTTAATATTTTCCAAACTCCCCTTTTTTTTCAAATTCTCAAAGGGGGCCCCCCTTTTTTCCCCACCCAAAAAAACCCCCCCCCTCCTTTAAAAAAACCCCACTTTTGAAATCCCCCCCCAAACCCCTCCTTTTCAAAACCCTATTAATTAAACCCCAAAAAAAAATTCCCTTTTGCATTTTCCCCCTTTTTTGGGCCCCCCTTTTTTGCCCCCTTTTGCATAAATTTACTTTATTTACATAATTCGAATTTCAAACCTTCCCCCCCATAAGATCTTTTTCTTCTGCACCCCTCCTTTGGGAACTTCCCCGGGAACCCGTTTTCCCTTTTTTTCCCCCCCCCCGAAACCCTACCCCCCCATTGTTTCCCGGGCAACTCCCTTTTTTAACCCAAACATAATCATTTTTTCTTTTTTTTCGCAAACACCAGACTTTTTGCCCCCTTTTTAAAGTTTTTTCCTTTTTTTGTTTCAGGGAAAAGGGAAAATTGCCCCCAAAAACCCATGCCCAGCAGAGGAAATTTTTCCCTTCCTGACTGGTACAGGGGATTTTAGACGGTTTGAAGGGCTGTTGTTTTTAGATTTATGGGAGTCTGCAAGGGTGAACAAAGTTGCCCCCCCCCTATTTGTTTCGCTTTAGGGCCGGCATCCCCAACTTCCATTCATAACACCAAACATCTGTTTTTTTGTCTCCCAAAAATCCCGAATTTAAGCCCCTTTTTTTAAAAATTTTTTTCTTTTTTTTAAAAATTTTCGGAAAGGGGGACTCCCCATCTGGCTTTTAGCGCTCATCGCAATGGACGGGGGAAAAATTTTTTAAAATTCCCCCGGAAAAATAGAAAAAAAAAAAAAAAGGTTTAGAAAAAGAAAAAACAATTAAATTTATTTTTAGGCTTCTTAAAGTTTGAAAATTAATTAGGAATTTTAAAGTTTCCCCTTTTCTTTTTTATAACAAAAAAAAAAAAAACCCTAATATGAAAAATTTTAAGGTTTTTTTTAAAATTTGGCAATGACCCGGGTTTTTCTACCAAACCATATATATATTAAATATATATATATATATATATAAATAATATATATATTATTTAATAATATATATATATATATATATTATATAAAATTATATATAATTAATATATATATATATAATATATATAAAAATATATATATTTATATAAAAAATAAGGGGGGGTACACCTTAAAACGCCCCGGGGGACCTCATCCCAGAAAAAGAATAAATTGCTTCAGGGGAAACTCAAAGGTTTTCCCTGAAATGTTTGAAAATTGTTTTCTCCTACCACCCCCCCATATTTTTTAATACTTTATTTTAAAAACAAAATACTTGCAAAACATTACAGAAATACAGAAAAATAAAAAAACATAGATAAAAACTCAGACTACATCTTTAATACTTGTCCAGCTCCCCGGCGGGGGGCCGCATGCCCAGAATGCTGCAGGCATTTCCTCCTGGACCCAAAAACCGGTCCGAAAGAGGAAGCTGGTTTCCCTGTGTTTTTGGTTTCTTTTACAGCTTTTTTACCAGCTCTTTGAGGGAAATTTGAGCACACTTCCCCATGCCCAAGGGGGCTCCAACCCTATTGGGATGAAGTTATAACAAGGGGGAAGGTCTTCATATTTGAGATCTTCTGGGTCTCCCTGGGCTGCAGCCCCCCCCTTCAGCTTCGGGGTATCAAGTAGGTGCTGCAATGTGGCCTCAGTGTAGCTCGGCAAACTGCTTTCCACCCTTTCCGGGGAAATAGGGCTCCCCAGGATCTTTTGCTTTCTGTTGGCTAGAATTTTGTGGGGACTGGGTTCCCCTGATGCAGTCTCAGGATCTGCCCCAGCAGTATCTTCAGAAAAACCTTTCCCAGCCCCACACCAGAATTTCTAAACTTTTCCAGCCCCCCCCCCAAAGCATCACCAAACCCTTAACACCAAACAGCTGAACACATTTTTTTTTTGTATTTTTTTTAAAAAAATCAAGTATCCATTTTCCTTTAAGAAAAACCCGGGAGTTTCCCCAATTTGGGCGATGGCCTGTACTAGGTTTCATTCCCTTTTTGTGTTACTGTACATTTGGGGCCCTTACACTCCCTTTTATTTTGCATATGTTTTCCCTTTTCTAGTTGTTCCTTTGTAGAATGTTTCTGATCCCCCAATTTTGTTATCCCACAATCCCCCTCTTTAAAACCCGTCTTTTTCTTCATTTTCCCCTGTTTTCCTAAAAAATGGAAATTTCTCCAAGAAAATATTTTTGTGTTGTTTCTGATTTAATCATATAAAATACCTCTCACCGTCTTCTTTTTGTCATACAAACCCTAAACACTTCCTGTTTTAAATATCATATCGGGTGGAGGTGGAAATATTGGCAAGAAACATAACCCCACCCGGTACAGGTAGCATCGTTCCCCCAAAAACATTTCCTTCAAGCTTTGTTACTTTAGACAATTTTTAAATTTTGGATTGATTTTATCAAAGATGAGTGTAGAGGGGACTTACAGTCGACCCTCAACAACGGGGAATTAAGTAACGGCAATTTCGTTAAAGCGCTTTCTTAACCCAACGAGTTTGTTGGAACATGTCATGTGCCCGAGCCAGCCTGAGCACCCCACCACTCCAAGGTCAGGTGATTTTTAAAAGCTGTTGCGGGGGTTTCCACTGCGCCCCCATATAATTTGGAAAATTTCCCATTATTTTATACTTGAAAACTCTAAAAAGCCACCATGGGCCCCAGAAGGTTCTAGTGCCAAGCCTGTGTTAAAAAGGTAGAATTTAAGGGGGAAAATGAAGTCCTTGGGGAAGGGGTTCCCTTCCAAGCAATTGACAATTCTAATTTCCCTGCTGCGGACACACTAATCAACAACTCTACAAAAAAGGTAAGGGCTTTTAAATTTTTGTTTGTTTTTTTTCCCATTCCTTTTCCATAAAAGGGAAATGTATATTTCATGAAAAAAAAAAATTCAACCTGGGGGCAGGAACTCATAATGTTTCTAAACATACAGAACTTGGCTTGGTACATGGAGACCTGTAAAAAACACTTTTCTTTACTTTTAGTACTACATAATGGCTGGTAAAAAAATAATAATAATAATCAATCTTTTTCTACAATACATGTACATGTAACAACCATGGTGACATCAATGACATCTATATTAGAAAGCCGCTTGTTATGCAGAGCATTTCGGGCAAATTAGGTCACTTTTGTCCCAAAACGACCCAAAAAGATGACTAACAGCTAGGTCCCATTTTAATAATGGAGAACATAGAGAACTGGTTTTTAAAAGGGAAACGCTCCCAATGTTTTTCTACGCTACCCGGGGGTCGAACCCCGACATGTGAAACAGATTATTTGGTGCTTCTGGTAGTGGGAGTAAAAAGAAACTCTTTGGGGGCTTCTTACTTTATTTGTAATGTCGTTGGTGGTACACAGGCTTGTGTTTGTGCCCAGGCTGGGGAGGGCCCTCCCACGAGAGAAGAATACTAGTGGCCTTGTGTCTCCTGCCAGGCCGCTGTGTAGTGAGAGTGTGTGGGACCAGTTCCCCAGACCTGACAGGGCCCCAAGGGCAGCACTTTAGTGGGCGAGATATGAACGAGCTGACCCGACAGCAGGGGTCTGTGCAACGTACAGGCTTTTACTACGCTCGGCCACCTGCCATATGGTCGCCCCGACCATGTCTGGGGGGTCATCAAAAACCGGGAAAATGGGCGACTCTGGCAAGCGACTCAAAGACACTTCTGCTGGACGTCACTGGGCTGTCACGCCGGCGAGCATGGAGTAAGTCGTGGAGTGAGTCGTGGCAGAGATGACTGGGCGAAACATCTGGGAGTCGTAACATCATACACCAGACTGCAGTGAGCAAGCTAGCAGTCAAAGTGACATCATCTTTGTGCAGGAGCTCACTGAAGCTATGACACAAGGCTGACACAGCGCCTGCTGACAGGGCTTAACTGCGGCTTGGTGAGTGTCATTCTCTCAGCTAGTTGGAGTTATAGCAGAGATTAGCCTAAGAGTTATAGCAGAGGTTAGTCTAAGGGAGGGCCATCCCACGAGGGAGAGAGGGAGTAAGACTAGTTGTCTGCTTCTAGGCCGCTGTGTGAGTGAGGCAGATGCAGGAGTGGGCATACTGAAGTGGTAAGCACCACCAGCATGGCGCAAAATATGAACTCAGCTGGCAGACAGCATAGGCTGTCTGTGCAGACAGTATGGGCTGTCTACAAAGGGGATGGAGAGAGAGAGGTTGACAGAGGCGAGACAAGTACAGGGGGTGGAGAGAGAGTGGTTGACAAGGGGTAACAATACGGGGGAGGGAAAGGAGAGAGAGGTTGACGGGGGGTAAAGAAAAGTACGGGGGATGGACAGAAATTGACGGGGGAAAGGGAAAATTTCAGGGGATGGGGGAAGTTGAGGGGGTGGGGAAAGTCCCAGGCGATGGAGGGGGAGGGAAAGGGGTGGGGACAAGTACAGGAGGGAGAGGGGAGGTTGACGGGGGTGAAAAAAAAAGGGGCGGGGGAAGGGAGGGAGATTTTGCCCAAGGGGTGAAAAAAAGAAACAGGGGATAGAGAGAGAGGGGTTTTGACAGGGGTAGACAAGTGCGGGGGTTTGGAGAGAGAGTTGCCCAGGGTGAGCCCAAGTACAGGCGTTTGGGAGAGAGAAAAGGTTTGGGACAGGGAGACAAGTGAAAGGGAGGGAAGAGAGGGGTTACGGGGGTTTAGACAAGAAAGGGGATGGAAGAGAGAGGTTGACATGGGTGAAAAATTTAAAAAAGGGCAAGGGGAGAAGAGAGGTTGACAGGGTGAGACAAGTACGGGCGATGGAAAAGGAGAGGTTGACGGGGGCGGACAAGGCGGGGGGAGGGAGAGAGAGGGGGTTTGACAGGGTGAAAAAATTTACAGGCGATGGGAGAAAGGGGGTTGCCAGGGGTGGCAAGTGCGGGGTTTGGAGAGGAGAGGGTTCGGGGGTGAAAACAAGTGCGGGGATGGAGAAAAGAGGGGTTTGACTTTGGGGAGACAATACAGGCGATGGAGAGAGGGGGTTTTTCGGGGGTGAAACAAGTAAAAGGCGATGGAAAGGAGGTTACAGGGGCGAGAAAATGCGGGGGAAATGGAGAGGGGGGGGGGAAAGGGGGATGAAAACAATTTAACGGGGAAAAGGAGAAGAGGGGAGGTTGACGGGGTGAGACAATTTCAAAAAAAGGGAGAGAGGTTGACGGGGGTTAGAAAACCCAGTTTTAAGAGAGAAGAGAGGGATATACAACCCAAGAGATATAAAACAAAAAATGAGAAAATAAATAAAAACAAAAAATAACAAAAAGCGTGCAGTGAGATCCGTAGGGCCCTTTAATGAACAGGAAAGAACGGAGGAGAGGACGCCCCGAGCTAGGGAAAAAAAACCTTTGCAAAACCCCGGGCCCATAGCCAGGGGAAGAAGAAGGAGAGAAGAGGGGAAGAGCCCAAGAGAGAGAGAGAGAGAGAGAGGGGAGAGAGAGACGAGAGAGAGAGAGAGAGGGGAAGAGAGAGCGAGAGAGAGAGAAGAGAGAGAGGGGAGAGAAGAGAGAGAGAGAGGGAGAGAGAGAAGAAGAGAGAGAGAGAAAGAAGAAAAGGGAGCCCGTCAACGGCTGTGTTGTAAATGCATCCCCAGATATTCCAAAAAAGGGGAAACATTTCCCGGAGCTCCTTTAATTATTAACTGGCTTCAACCCATTGTAGAAGACCGACAGACCAACATCAAAAACCAGAAGCAGACCAACATCAAGACCAGAGAAAGACCAACTAAAACCAGACAGCCCAAACCCATCAAGACCAGATCAAAACCAACAAACACCAGATCACCAACATCAACACCAAGCAGACCAACATAAAGACCAGAGCAGCCCAACATCAAGCCCAAAGGGGCAGACCAACAAAAAGACCAAGAAACCCCAACACCCAACACCAGAAAAAACCAACATCAAACCAGAGAAACCCAAACCATCAAGCCCAAATTTAGACCAACATAAAACCCCGAAGCAACCAACATAAAGAAAAAGAGCAACCAACATCAAACCAAAGCAAACCAACATCAAGCCCAAAAAAGGCAGACCAAATCAAACCAAAAGCAACCAACATCAAAAACCAGATCAAACCAACAACAAAAAACCAAAAAGGCAACCAACACCCAAGACTAAGCAACCAACATCAAGACCAGATTAGACCAACATCAAGCCCCCAAAAAAGCAACCAAAAATCAAGGCAAGAGCAAACCAAAAATCGGAAAGATCAGCCCAAAACATCAAGACCAGCTCAGCCCAAACATCAAGCCCAAAAGCAGCCCAAACCTAAAAGGCCAAGCAACCAATTTCAAGACCAAATAAACCAACATAAAGACCAATTAAACCCAACCCCAAGGGCCAAGCAGCCCAAACATCAAGCCGGGGAAAAGACCAACCCGGGCCAAGCAAAAACCAAAAAGCCCAAGTAGCCAACACAAGCCCAATTAAAACCAACATCAATGCAAGAGAAAACCAACATCAAGCCCAAGAGAAAACCAACTTTAAAGGGCCCAAGCAGCCCAAACATAAAGGGCCCAGAGCAGACCAACCCAAGGTCGTAGCAGACCAACATCAAGACCAGACAGACCAAGGTAAAGGCAAGGCAGCCCCAACACAAGACCAGAGCATACCCAACATAAAGGGGCCAGAGCAGCCCAAACATCAAGACCAGACAAAAAATCAAAAACCAAGAAAAGCCAACATCAAGACCAGAGAAACCCAAACATAAAGGCCCCAGAGCTCCCAATATCAAGACCAAAAGCAACCAACATCAAGACCAGAGAAACCCAAACACCCAAGACCAAGCAAACCAACTTTCAAACCAGGGGAAAAAACCAACATCAAGGCCAGAGCAGCCCCAAATCAAGGCCAGAGAAACCCAAACAAAAAACCCCAGAGCAGACCAACATCAAGATCAAGCAGACCAAAAAATAAAGACCAAAACAACCACCCAACAAAAACCAAGCAAAACCAACTTTCAAAAAAACCCGAGCAGACCAAAAACAAGACCGGGCCCCGACCAACATCAAACCAAGCAGACCAACATAAAGGGCCCAAGAGCGGGCCAATATCAAGACCAGAGCAAACCCCCCATCAAAACCAAGCAAACCCCCCATAAAGCCCTTTAGCAATCAACATCAAGACCAGAGCAACCAACATCAAGCCCAAAGCTGACCAACATCAAGACCAGAGAAACCCAAAACCTAAAGGGCCAGAGCAGGCCAAATCGGGCCAAAGCAGCCCAAAACTTTAAAACCAGACCCGACCAACACAAAAAATCAGAGCAGACCAACATCAAGACCAAAACAAAACCACATCAAGCCCAAATCCCCAACACCCAAAGACCCAAGCAACCCCCAAAAAGACCAAGCAGACCAACATCAAGACCAGACAGACCAACATCAAGGCCAGAGCGGGCCCCAATTATCAAGCCCAGAGCAAAACCAATCAAAACCCGAGCAAACCAACATAAAGGGGCCAGAGCGGGGAAACCGTCAATGGAAAAATTTTTCCCTCACAGAACCCTGCCAATTGACAAGGCCCTGGAATACCTAGACGAGTTTAAATTCACCAGCAAAATACCTATGGAAACTCTTAAAAACAAAGCCACATTAAAAATTTAAACCCTAATTCTGAAATTCTAATCCCCACCTTTTTTTGGCCTCCGTAAGGGAACCATCATTATCCATAGTGAAGAAAACCCTTTGGTTTGTCATTTTCCCCAAAACACCTGACAAACACCTGACATCACTGTCCACCCCCTTTGCGGCCCCACACCTGGCAGCAGGGCTCCATCTCCCAAAACCCAAAGGGTCGGGTTTTTCCCTCCACCAGAGATTTTTGCTTTTTTAAAATCAAGTGACTGACACTGCACCTGAACAAGTGCGACCAAAGCAAAAACAGGGGGGACATATGGGGGAGTCCCCGGTGAAGCAGGGAAAGAAAAAGGAAAAGATGATGTGGAAAGATGGGGTTTGCTTTTTTTAAAACCCGGGCTAAACCTTCCCAAAAAACACAGCCCGGAAAAAGATCACTAGGAACACAATCATTGGACTTCGCCAGCAAAGAACCTACAGAGATATAAGTACCAAAAACACAGAGTTGTAGGAAATAGGAGTCCCCCCCTACCCCTACCCCAAGCTCCGCCTGCCACTGAGGGGAAAACCATAACAAAATGCCTTTAATACCCAGGTTTCAAAAAGCCTTTTATAAAAGGGGAACAAAAAGAAGACCAAAAGGCTTAAAAAAAGAACTTGACATCACGGGTGACCCCTTCTTTAGAAAAAAAAAATTTTCCCAGACAAACCAGCAGGGTCTCAGAAAACCGGGGAACACAAAACTTTTTTCCCACCCAGCTCCCCCAAACTTTGGGTTTTGCAGGTGGGCTTGTGCCTTTTTTTCAAAACAAAGAATTTAGCGGCTGCCCCGGGGTTCTACCTGTCTCAGTGGGAGGGGCATAAACCCCCCAACATCTCGAGTTGAATACATCATGAGGAGCAAGTCAAACATTTTCTGTCGACCCCAAACCGAAAAGCTTTTTACCAATGTTAGGGAAGCCCACTTACATTTCGTGAACCTCCAAAAATCCTGACAATCGCCTTTTTTAAAACATTTTTGGGGCAAAAGGGCCAGAAAAAAAATTTAAATTACGGGTAAAAACTTCAAGGGGAGAACAACAAGGGAAAAGGGAAGGGGGAGGGGTTACCGCATGCATTTCAAAAAGTGTTTCATCCCCCCCCAATGTGAA